TAAGCAAAAACTCCCTTCATTTGGGTGCATTTTACAAAAAAAAAAAAAGACTTATCTTGTAATTTTGCTTAAGTAAATGTATCTTAATTTAAGAATTTTTTTATTATTCTACTGGAAAATAAGACAAAAATACTAAAAAAAAATATATATATATATATATATATATGTATAGGAGTGTGTGAATGTAATATTAATAATAGCAAATATAATAATTAATAAAATAAATATTATATGTTAATCACCATCCAATGAGAAACATCTTAACATCACATCAGAATTAACAAAATTCTACAAAATGAACTTTTATGATTAAAACAAGAACAGATATCTGATTTAATCTTGATATCTGATTTATCTCACAAACTCACTTCATCTTGATCAGTTTCTCAGAGAACAAGACTTGTTGTATTTTATAAATGTCTCATTCATTCATTTTGCTTCTCCAGTATATGTGTCTTGATTTAAGAGTTTTTAGACATTTGCACTGGAAAACAAAACAAAAACACAGAGGAAGAACAGCATTTAAATGTATTTATCCATCTGAGGGAAACACATGCCGTTTCATGCACTCACTGGCATCAAAGTGAAATCATGATTTTATCTAGTTTCTAGCTGATGTCTAGGAACCTCAGTTCAGGATGTGTTTGCGGTGTATTTCTGTTATAGAGCGCTCCGGTTCCCCTTTCAGTCCCCAGATATGATGAAGCACAGTTTCACAGATACTGAGCTCTGCATGAAGCTGCATTCATTTACTCCTCTATCTGTTGCATTTGCATTTTAATTAGAACAAATGCCAGGAACATGAATCAAGAAAGTGACTGTGGATTTGCACAAGATGTTCATTGTTGTCTAATTTGCACAGACACACTAAAAACCTCGTCCAGATGAATAAATATAGTCATAACAGAGAAACATCTCATCTTTACAGCTTTGCTTGTACATTCGGAAGCATTACTGACATTTATTGATTTATCAGCTTATTAAAATCATACACAGGACTGTGACATTTCTTGGATTTTTTTTTTTTTTTGCTTGAATTTCCCCATGACTGATGAATTTCAGTGACTTTTACACAAATTTTGTTAATGAGATCACTAGTGGGGAAATGCTGCTTTTTTTGCATGTTTTTCTAATTTTCAAAAACATTCATTATGAATGACTTTACCGTAATAACTTCAGCTTTTAAGTTTAAAAATAAACATGAATCTGAGAATGAATGCATATTCGGTGTGTCTGCGTTTTTGCTTTTAATGAAGGATATCTGACTGTGCAAAGAGTCACATGATCAATGACTCAATTTTACTTGCATTCAGTTCAGAAGTAGAACAGAAAATAAACATCTTGATGATCCCTTGTTTTGGATTTGAATTAGATTTTTGAATTTTTTGAAAATCATATTTGTTTGTTTGCAGGTTTAAATTCCAGGTTTTCCATTTCGGTTGCAGTTTTGTCGTCAGCTCATGACAGAATATAATGTGATCGTCTCATTCTGGATGTGTTGGGTTGTATCAGGCTTGATGGAGCAGATGTGAGAGAGACTGAGAGGAAATGAGCCGGTTTTGTTTCTCACAGGCTGCTGCAGTGAAACACAGAGGACCTTTGACTGACTAATGAGGGTCCATGTGTCAATAATTCAGCAGGGTTTGAGTTACAGTCACTCGCTGCGTCAGCGCATTACAGACCTAATGAGGATCTGAGTCCTGAATCCCACTGCAGCTGGAGCTCCTAAAGCCATAGTCCACTGAAAGATGAGCATTTGATGAGAATTTACTCATGCAAGATTAGGATGAGTTTGTTTCTTCATCAGATTTGTAGAAATGTAGCATTGCATCAGTGTCTCACCAATGGATGCTCTGCAGTGAATGGGTGCCGTCAGAATGAGAGTCCAAACAGCTGATAAAAACATCACAATAATCCACAAGTAATCCACAGCGCTCCAGTCCATCAGTTAACATCTGGAGAAGACAAAAGCTGAAACAAATCCTGCATTAAGACGCTTTTAACTCAAATACAGTCCATAATCCATAATAACGCTTCCTCCAGTGAAAGAGCGTTCTGGTCTGAATCAGGAGAGAAATCTGCACAGATCAAGCAGCGTTTAAACAGCTCTAAACAAATATGTGGCTGGATGCACTTTTTCACTGGAGGATTATGGACTTTATTTGAGTTAAAAACGTCTTAATGCTGGATTTGTTTCAGCTTTTGTCTTCTCCAGATGTTAACTGATGGACTGGAGTGCTGTGGATTACTTGTGGATTATTGTGATGTTTTTATCAGCTGTTTGGACTCTCATTCTGACGGCACCCATTCACTGCAGAGCATCCATTGCTGAGCACATTTTCATTTTTGGCTGAACTATTCCTTTAATATGATTTCCATTCTATTAGTCATTTGTAAAAACCCCTTTAACTAACAAAAGGCACTTCCTCATTGACATCATCCTGCAGGAAGTGACATCATTTCTTGGAGGGAAACCAGCAGCACAAACATCAGTGAGTATATCAATGGATCTGATGAGTTTTGTGGTTTGTTTCACTTTAAAACATTCGTCCGGTTTGATTAAAAAAAATATGCTCATGTAAAGCTAACAGCTAATCAGCAGTACAGAGCTGGAACAGGAATGAACACTTGTGTTCAGTTTAAATATCCTAAAATAACATTTCTTTCATCACATCTAATTAGCTTCAGGCCTTTTCTCATGTTTTCTCTTCATTTATTCATCCTTGAAAATGATAAAGTGAGTCAGAATCATGTATGTCTGTGATCCAGCATCGGCACTGGATCATGCTCAAATATGATCATATTTACTGAGACATTATCTCACACATGCATATATTAAATGACTCATTTATTGTGGCCATTAACTGGAAAAATGCTATCTGTGAGCGACAGTGTGTGTGCAAACACTCGTATTACTGTGATGCATTTATAGACATTTCCTTGCATTATACTGCCAGCATTGGCACTTTTATTGCTCTTGTATCAGCATAAAAACAAAAGCACGCTGGTACCTTTAAACGGGATTTATTAACCAAAATAAGATTGGAAATGAACATACAGTGGGTACGGAAAGTATTCAGACCCCCTTAAATTTTTCACTCTGTTATATTGCAGCCATTTGCTAAAATCGATATTTCAGTTTTTCTTTTTTAATAAATCTGCAAAAATGTCAACAATTCTGTGTTTTTCTGTCAATATGGGGTGCTGTGTGTACATTAATGAGGAAAAAAAATTAACTTAAATGATTTTAGCAAATGGCTGCAATATAACAAAGAGTGAAAAATTTAAGGGGGTCTGAATACTTTCCGTACCCACTGTATATAAATTATGAAGGAATCACTTCTAGTGCATGAAAAAGACAAACATTCATGAATCTCACATTCTGACAAACTAAAGCATTTTCACTCTTATTATAGTTTCATCGCTTACAGAAATGGAAAGTTGCAGGCGATATGAGTTCAAATAAAGTTCAAGGCGTTTCCTCGTTTATGAGCTCAAGACTGACGAATACAAGCGATCGAACACAAAGTAGCAGAATTAAATCTGCTACTTCCACAAACTGCAGATTTGCAAAATGCCACAATGTTTTATCATATCTGAAATATACAGGTCAAAGGTCACCACAAAATCAAAAGAAAAAAGACAAATTACAGCCTGTATAGAGTAAATAAATTTTAGGCTTTAGCATAGACATTATTTTTATTACAAAAATTGAGCACAATATAGTATTATATTATTTATTACATTAATTGTGCAGTGCATTTGTAATTTATGCTGATTTTAAATTGAAAAATTCTATAATTACAATTATTTATATATATATATATGATTTATTAAATTACTTAAATTGTGTAGTGCATTTGTAATTTATGATGATAATTACAATTGAAGTAATTTTATATTTTTTATAAAATTATATACAATTTATTAAATTGCTTACATTGTATATTGCATTTTCTAGCAGCAAGAAATGTACTTCTCATGAAAATAACATTGTTTAGGCTTAATTTGTTTTGTGCTAAATTATAATTTTATCTATTTTCCTTTGATTCTGTGGTGAAATAAGACCACTCTACAGCTTCAGGAGCACAAACTCAAAGCAGCTGAAATGTTTTGACTGAATCTGGACTGAGCTTTAATGCTTTAGATAAAAGCTCGATGCTACGAAACCTCTCCAGTGCACTTTATAATGCATGTCTGCGCATAAACATTTAACATCACAGTTATGAAAGGCAATAAAGGTGCCGAAATCAGTTTAGTTTGTCCTAAACAAATGACCTTGATATGGGGAAGAAACTTTAATTGCAATTGGCTCAAAGTCAGCAGACATTTATTACAGTAATATTACGTATTTTCCCCCATAACTCACATAAAAGGAAAGGTTACAGAATGTACAGTAATGCATACTGGCAGACTGAAAAAGAAGAAAAAGTAAAAACCCCAAACAGCAGAGAACGTGTGTGTTTATGTGGGCGGCGGAGGAAGACCGCTGTTGACCTGAAAGCGCGTTTCGTCTGATATCCCATACTGCTCCAGCGGGTCCTGCACCAGATCACAGAGCAGCATCTTCATTATTAACCTGGGCCCGTATTCACAAAACATTTCATCTTCTCCTAAATAGCAGTTTTAGCTAAGTTTTCTCTTAAAACCTATTCACAGAGCTGCTAAGACAAACATTTCCTAAGGAATAGAGAGAAGTCTTAAGCTCAGAGTAAGGGGGCGGGGTTTACCTCGTTGCTATACATGCTTATTAACTATGCACACAGTGATTGGCTGATAGTCTGTCAACAGAAATATTCTAGAGTGTGATATTATGTTGCCACATTCAAATAAAGGTTTTAAAATGCAGGCTAAGTGTCACTAATTAAGCAAGTATTTAGAGTTGGGATAACCTCCAAAACCGAAGGCGATATCTTTTTAAAAGCTCATTATCGTCACATGTTTCTAAAATGTTAACGTTCCGAGGCAGATTGACAGAAACAGCTATTTTAGGATTGTCTTAGTGACTTAGGAGTCCTCTTCACTAACCTTTCACAGATTTAGGAACTAGTTTTAGTGCTGAAACGCTTTGTGAAATACTCTAAATTTAGGACTGACTCGCCTATTATTTTGAAGACTTTCTCCTAAATCGGAGAGTTGTGAGCTACTAAGATGTTTTGTGAATACGGGCCCTGATATTGATCATTAATTAATATTATTCCCTCACCTTGCCGGTGAGTCGATGGATTTCCGTGCGATAGTAGATCAGGTTCTTGCGCATGAATTCATAACTGTGAGACGGAAGCAGATCAGAGTTATAAAGCGGGAGACGCACGGCATGATGGGAAACGTCCGCGACACACACCTGGCTTTAACGATGGCATCGATCCACTCGACACACTGTTCCTGAGAACCACATTCGAACAGATACTTCCTCTCGGCTTCGTCCAGAAACGCTGGAAAACAAGCAAGAGTCACGGTTCTCTGTTAAAGAGCTGAGCCTCAAATAAAGAATAACCAGGGTTATTTTTGATATATTATATATTATAGTTTTTTTTTATTCATATTTGAACTAGTTATTTATATTTTGTATTTTCCATTTTATATATATATATATATATATATATATATAAGTAATTTGTCATTTTAGTAATTTTGTTGTGTGTTTTTGTTGGTTTTATTATTATTATTATTATTATTAAATATGTCATAAGAAACACTGATTGATATCACATTTCTCTCTTAAAGAGCAGAGTCAAATTTTACTATAATCGAAATACTTATTGAATTGAAATTGAATTGAATTAATTGAAATAGTTTTTATTAATAGTTTGAATTAGTTTATATTTTCCATTTTAAAGTCTTTTTTTTTTTAAGTAATTAATTTTGTTGTTTTATTATTTGTCCATTTATTTTTTAAATATGTCTATATAGTTTTTTATTAATTTTGTTTCATTCTAGTTATTTTAGTACATCAAGTTAAACTAAACAAAAATTAGAAATCTTTCCTTGGCAACTAGCTGAAATAAAATAAATTCAGTTTTTATTTTATTTCAGTTAATATTTATTTTATTTCAAATAATGTTTTTTTATTTTTAAATATAATTTTAGTTTTAGTTAACAATAACTCTTCTTAAAACCAAAGAGTTTTTTTTCTCCCATTTTCCATTTTAAAGTCCTTTTTTAAAGTAATTCCTTTTTTTGTACAATTTAGTTGTGTTTTTGTCAGTTTTTAATAAAAAAAAAAAGTCTATGTAATTTTTATTTCAATTTTAGTACATCGAGTTACATCAACTAAATGAAAATGAGAAATGTTTCCTTGGCAACTAGATGAAATAAAGTAAATTTCATTTTTTTACATTTTATTTTACTTCAGTTAACATTTAACATTTCATTAAATGTTCCCTCCTGGTGGAATTACCATCTTCAAGAATCGGCTAAAAACACATCTCTTCCATCTTTGACCCTCTAACTCTAGCACACTCTATTCTAATTCTATTCTTAAAAAAAAAAAAAAAATTCTCTTTTAATCTTGCACTCTATTCATTTAGCCTACTAACTGCTTGTTTTCTTTTTTCTTTTTTTAAACTAACACTAGCATCTCTATTCTTTTTGTATTCTATTCTATTCTTTTTATTTATTATATAATTAAAAAAGCCCTTGCTACGTGTGCTGCGTTAAGCTAACGGAGACTTGTTATAGCACTTGCGTATCATTGCTCTTTTGTTGATTTTGATTTCTTCTATTGTCCTCATTATAAGTCGCTTTGGATAAAAGCCTATAACCCTGCTTAAAACATGAAATGCTTTGGATAATTTCTACACGGTTGAGCTGTTCTCACCGATGGAGAAAACATGATCGTCTTCTCTCTCCACGCGACACTGTTCCAGCAGCAGAGCGCCGATGGGCTGAAACACAAACCAATTAAACTCAAGCGATAACGATAACGATAACGATGCTGTTGAGGTCCAGATCAGACGCTGCTTCACACTCACCTCGTCCTCATCGGTCCGAAAGTAAAACAGGAAATTAACGATCAGTTTCACTAGACGCCTCTTCACAACTGTTGTGGGAAACAGCAGAAATAAAAGTCAAACTCTATTGAAAGTTAATAATTTAGGTTTATTTTGGTTAATAAAACTCTATCGTCTCCACACGGCAAAACCAGATCGGTCCAGTCTAGTGAGGCACAGTCACTTTTAAATCTCACCTAGAAACTTATTTTATTTTTAAGTGCCTTTTAGTTGCTTTAGTTTACATTTAGTATATATAATGCATTTTTATTCTCTCCTGGTTTATGTATTTTATTAGTTTGTATTGTAAAATATATTATTATTATTTTTTTAGTTTTGTTTTAGTTCAAAATTAAGCCCAAATAATAAAAAAAGAAGTTGGGACTTTTTATATTACAATTCTGACTTTTCCCCCTCACAATTCTTATATAAAAAATAAAAATAAATGCATAAAAAGTCAGAACTGTGAGATGATAACTTAGAAAAAAGTAAGTTTGTATCTCACAATTCTGACCTTTTTTCCCTCATAATTACGAGCTTACATTTCGCAATTCTATTTTTTTTTCGTCAACAGAATAAAAAATTAATTTGCAACTTTTTATCTCACAATTTTTACTTTTCCCATCAGTATTACGAGTTAATATATTGCAATTCTGAGTTTACATTTCGCAACTCTCAGAAAAGGAAAATAAAGTCATAATCGTGAGATTAAAAGTCGTAACTTTTAAAGTGGTTAGAGAAAAAATACACATTTTTTACTTATTTTATTTTTTTTATAATGTCACGTCAAAGTGGCTTTTAAGATTCTGAAGTGAGCGCTTTCGTTTTCCACAGCTTCTTGGATTATTACAGAAATGCTCAATTTCTCATAGTTTGGTTGATTCAAATGGCGGTATACTAGTTATGTCGCGCCATGACCGCTTTTTTATTAAAAAAATTAACCGTTAATACCGGCGAACTGAGAGGATGCGATCAACTCTAGTTTAACAGAAATCAATCTACCAATCGCAGAGCGCGTAGTGGAGGTGACATGTCCCGCCTCCTAACGCGATTGGATACTGCAGTTGAGTACGAACACTAGCGACTAACAGCTGTACTCGTAATAGCGTACTACCTTAAAGGTGGGGTAAGCGATTTTTCAAAAACGCTTTAGAAAACTGATTCGGGCCGAATAGCAAAACAAACTTGTAGCCAATCAGCAGTAAGGGGCGTGTCTACTCATGATGTGGAGGAGAGAGAGTTCAGTGCACAGGACGGACATTAGCCGAGCCGAGCGACAGAAAGATAGAGATGGCGGATAAAAAACAAAAGAGGAAAATGTCTGCGGAACAAACGACGGCTTAAGGCAAGAAGTAGGACCCGTGTAAATATCGGATCAGCTTTCCAGCGCTGGAGAGAACTCAAGGAGCGGAAGGCCTGCGATCGGACGCCGAGGTTGCTTTGTTTCTTCTCGATAGGTGAGTAAGGGAGAATGCACGTTTTAAACAGCTTATTGTACAGGTAAGTTAATCGCCGTTCTAATCTAATGCGCTGCTGCACTGTAACGCACACACATTACAGACAGTAGCGCGTACATCACGCGCACAGAATCATTCAGCGCGGAAATGTATTGTCAGCACTGTTCTGTGATTTCTCAATAAAATAGCTTAGAAACTGAAAAGTTCAAGCATATATTTCTTAATAACTAAATTCCACAGCTTCACTACTAGTAGAGAGACGCTGCCAGATATAATTAATTCACACACGCAGTCACTCTCACTAATGCATTCATATTAATGTAATCTTTACTGTGCTACTTTATCTGTATCTGATTTAGAATGACCAGAAATCTGTGAGAAATATAACGACCCAAAGACAAAAGAACTGATGAAAATGAGCTGTTATAGCCGTGTGGGCAGTGCTGTGTCATATGCCATAGCTGTGCACAAGTTGTTTGTCACAGCTCCAGACTTATTTGTTCATTAATGACGTCATCAGCGACTAGTCAGCTTCGACTCGACTTTCATCACATAAAAGTCGACTTTAAAAAAATCAGAAGTCGTTCAACCCCTAGCGTCCGGTGTAGACACGGTGTAACATTGGTTTTATTTGTTTCACAGAACTAATCGTTGCCTGGGTTGCGTACGTATATGTGGGGCGGAGCTATCAAAATAGGGGCGAGACCCTTTTGGGGTAGGGGCGTGTTTATTTGGTGATTTCAAATGTCAGCATTGGCTACCAGAAATCGCTTACCCCACCTTTAACAACTGCTGTAATATCAGAAAATAGTGCGAGTAGTACGCTACATGCGATCACAGCATTGATAAAAAAAAATAAGCGGTTTTCTAGTTCTGTTGTTGATTTTAATCGGCGGGGTCTGGTTTTCTTGTTCTTTTTTTTGTTCGGTGCTTTAATAGAAACTCCACAGAAACGCTCGCCGCTTACCGTCTCCTTTCTTCGGGCCTCTCATGCCCAGCTCGGCCGCTCTCTCCGACGGCTGGCGGCTCAGAAACACCAGCTCCTTCTCGTTGAATCGCATCTTCAGCTCTCTGACAGCAGTTTCGTCTCATTAAAGCGCATTTTTACGACATTAAACAGCGGTTTTCGTCTTAGCGTCAGCGTCGGATCGGATAGTCCGCATCCAGATGATCAGTCAGAGTCTGCTGCTGTGGTCAGAAATAATCTCCTCTGATCTGATCGCGTGTTTAATGCCAAGTTTGAGCTCACACACACCCGAAACACACAGAGAGCAGCCGGAAGAGGGCGCTGCTTTACCACTTAAAACGTACACTTTTAAAACACATCATATAAAAATATTTGTTTTGAAATTTTAATTTGATAAAAAAAATCACAAAGAGCATTTTTGTTGATGATTTAGCAATTTTGTGACGTCCTGTCACTTACCTTTTTAGTAAAACCTGACTTTTTTTTTTTTACTTTTATACATCCTCGTTGATCGCGGTTCAATTACATTAGTTTACAGTGCATTTGTAAGGGAAAACACACTTTTGCTGTGGCTTTTTTAGCTTACCTTTATCAATAAAGTTGCGCACTTCAAAATAACAGGAACCGGAAGTGCATCACTCAGCGCGCATGCGTATTACGGCAGCGACGGCGGCGGCAAGCGTGATCTGGACGTTAGGTAAGAAATGTTTTCACAAAGAATTTCTCAATCAAAATAATATTTACTTATACTTTTGGTATTATACTTTAGGTTTACTCAAACGCTGGTATTTTAATGAGCTTTCGGCGTTTGCTATGATTCGTTAAAAATGCAGCTTTGAAGTCAGTTCGATTCGATTCAGTGCTTTATGTACTAACGAGTGTGTGTGTGTGTGTGAGAGTGAGCGAGCGTGTGTAGTGCGAGTGTGTGTGTGTGAGAGTGTGTGTGTGTGAGAGTGTATGTGTGTTACTATAGTAATTGATAAGTGGTTTTATTAGTGGCATAGCTTTTTACTCCTACCGTAAATATGAATATATACACGTTTGCATTTGTTTCCCCTTCTTAAATCCACTTATCATAAGTCAAGGTTTCTTGCTCTAAAAACATTCATAATTTATTTTGGTGTCTATTTATATCTCACCGACCCTTACAATTTAAGAAGCTGTTTGCTGTAAGTTTCAGACTTCTATATGTGAGTATAACATGATCAAGCTCTCCTCTGTTATTGTAGGCTACCCTCCACATCTTTGCAGATTTGTGTACACTATTTTTCAGTACATTTTGAAATAAGAGTGTGCTGGCGGGACGTTTTGAGTTCTGACAGTTCAACCATCAAACTCTTTGAATTTCAGATGATTTTCTGCCATGTTTAGATGTGTTTTCCTCTTCTGTGATTCCAGGAGCAGCAGTGTGAAGAGAGGGATCTGTCATCATGGATTTCCAGCACAGAGCTGGAGGGAAAACAGGCAGCGGTGGCGTCGCCTCGTCGTCCGAAAGCAACCGAGACCGGCGTGAGCGTCTGCGGCAGCTGGCCTTAGAGACCATAGACATCAACAAAGACCCGTACTTCATGAAAAACCACTTGGGCTCCTATGAGTGTAAACTGTGTCTCACGCTGCACAATAATGAGGTATGAGCGACGCTAATGCACTTTACAAACATTCGTCCTTAAACATGACTCTCATTGTGTCTGTGATGTTCCTCTTCTAGGGAAGTTACCTCGCTCACACGCAGGGCAAAAAGCATCAGACTAACTTGTAAGTGCATTTCTGCAGCTGTGATCATCAGGATGATGTTCAGTGTAGAGGAGCAACTCATTGTGTTATCTGTACTTTTCTATTTTAGAGCAAGACGAGCTGCAAAAGAGGCGAAGGATGCGCCGGCTCAACCCGCTCCAGAGAAAGTCAAGGTTGAGGTGAAGAAGTTTGTCAAGATTGGCAGACCGGGTTATAAAGGTAAGACACTTGAGCCTCAGACCTGCATCCTATTTACTGAATGAAATCAAGTAAGCATTTCTTACTAATTTTTTTCTGTGCTGAATGCAAAAACTAGTGTCTGTTTTGCTGGAGCATGTCACACTTTCTCACTAAATATGATGCATTTTGTTGCATTTTTGCTTTTACAGACATTTGTCTTGGTTAAGAAGTCTTGTATTCTCCATTTAAATCCGTGCAGTTGGATTTAAAGGGACAGCAGCCTATAAATACGTGCTGCTGAATATGTCACTAATGTTAATCAAACAACAAAACCGCTATAACAAAGATTAATCCAAATTGAATTCATACAGTGAACACAATGCAGTGTTATTTTACACTTAATTATTAAATTTCTGTACCTGAATACTACTGTATTTTATCTATGCTTGTAAATTGTGTATTTGTTCTTTTTTCCCCCTTTTTCTTTCTTTTTTTTTAGTGACTGTTCACTTGCCTTTAATCATGTTTGAACTTTCTCAGACTATAGTTTTTGCTGTGGTATATGAAGAAGTACTTAAAGTGTATGGAAAGCAAAGTTACAATGATATAAAATTAGTGTCATTCATTTTTTGTCATTCACATTGATGTTAAAATGACGTTTTCTGATTTGTGACATTACTTTTTATGTACTGCTAAAACACTGCTGGTCACTTTCAGAAGTTGTAGTGATGCTTTCTTTTCCAAGAAAGAATGTGAAACAAATTGGTTACATAATTTTCATTTTTGAATATTTTAAAATATAATTTAAATAGATTTTTCACACTTTAAGCAATATCGTATCGCATATCGAATATCGCATTTTTTAACAAGGTATCGCATATCGCATTTTTCTTCAATATCGCACAGCCCTAACACACACACACACACACACTCACTCACACACACACACACACACACACACTCG